ACTAAACTTGATTCCGGTATGTGTAGTATCTCCAACAGAGCTCGTGAAGACATTCACGATGAGCTAATGAGTGTTCAGGTTATAATGCCTGTGATTACCAAGCTTACATTGAATACGCGGGATGGTTCGGTAAGTTCGTATTAATTTCGGGACCTACTGTTATGGACTCATTACGACGGAGATGAACAGGCACGATGTTCGTTTTTTATGATGATGAATAGCTGAATCGCGTAAGATCGATTGCGAGTTTTACTCGGCAAAAAAATGGCATCAACCATTTTTCTATCTGCATCATTAAAAGATACACGATTTAATTTAGTCTAGTGTAATATATTTATAGCAGTGGTATTTTAGCCTTTTTTAATAGTGGAATATTTTCAAAATGTTCAATTACATGTGTAGTAATTTAGGTGATGCATAATACTCGCACCCATAAAAATAAGTACCAATAAAATTCTGATTAATTTTTAATCGGTTATATGTAGTCATTTTAATTCAAAATCAATTGTATATTTTGTGATGTGCTGCTTAATTTAATATACTAATCTTAAGATTATGTTAATTATATAGCTTAAAAGATTTTACTTTTTTTTATTACAAATTATCAAAACCAATTCTCAATAATTTCGTCTTGGAAATTGTTAGGTGCTAGTTGTTCGATTTAATAAAATTAATTTTCGTTTGTAAGAACATAGTTAGTAAACGTCTGAACTAATACTTATTGGCCTTGAAAAGGATTATTAAAGAAAAAAATTAGTAAAATTAGTAAGCAGATACTAGAATACTGAAAACTGTAAATATGTTGACATTTGTAGTTTTTTACAGACAGAGAGAACAGACAGTGCCTGTGATCTAAATGAAAAAGATTAATAAAAAAGAACTAAACAAAAGTTAAGATAGAGGGTACACAGGCGATGATTTCAAAACGTACAAGCATTTTAAATATGACACGTGCTTGAATCGAATGTAATTTAATGTATCGGATAATAGTTAGTAAGTCATGTTTTGATAGTGGCGGTCATTATGAGTCAGGGGCTTAGTGTAATAACAGGAATAGATATAAACTTGACTATTATTATTGTGAAAATTTGTTTGTTTTGTTTTATATCTGTTATCATAACATTAAATATTTATTATTAATTAATAATATTAATTAAATTAATCGTCAAACATCTTATGTGGGTAATTTCAAATTACGTGATTCGAAGATCGGTTTTTTGAAGCTTTATAATGGTAATGCTTATTTAATTGACTCGATTGGTGATCAATTCGGTTGCATAATATATGTGTTTCCAGCTTAAGCCTGTCCTAGAGTGTTTGTAATTGAGGACGCCCTCAATAGTAACAAGCTAATGAATTTTTCCTAAATTGTTTTAGTATTTTTAAAGTGACTGTTATACAACCTAATAATGATAAAATAGGTTTTAGTTCTAACATTTGAATTTAATGTTGTTATTAAGTAAAAAACTTCATTCAGATCGTCAATCTGATCACGCAAATATCAAAAGATCATCATCACATTAGCTCGGTGGCGTAGTAGATAAGCTCCACGGTCCACGATCGTTGTTGTTAAGCGACTATCGCAAAGGTCAGTCTCGGGATGGGTGACGAAAAATTATTATCTGAAGCTACTCCGTGCTTTGGAAGGCACGTTAAGACGTTGGTTCCGGCTATGTTTGCAGACGTTATACCGTCCGATCTGCATTGGGCTAGTGTGGAGGGTCATAGCCCTTCCTCCTTGATCTTCCACGAAAGACTGAGCCCCTGCAATAGGGACGAATGATTTACGTGCTGTGGCCTTCTGGCTCGCACGCCGGGTATGATGATTTTCCTGTCTCCAATCTGAAAAGATTCGATTCTCAATTGGGGTCCTTGTAGTAGGAAATGAGTTTTACTTTATTGTCTCAGATTTGTGTATTGTTTTACGTTGTTACAGATTTCCATAATATAAGTAGGCACTTTAGCTTCATAATGAGAAATGTTTATGATATTATCTATTATTTATTTAGCCAATAGATTTATATAAAACCTCAATTAAATTATACCTATACATGAACCTTTCCGAAGAATTACCTGAAAAAGTTGCAATACGTTAAATATTTTTAGCGTTTCTCGCGTTAGAGGTCACCTTTTTTATACCCGTTTCGTAATATGCAGTAATTATTTATTTGCTACTATAATATATTGACAAACAACTTTGATACTGAACAGGTGAAGTTATGAGATACCCATAAAGGTGTTATCATACTCATGAACATACGTCTCGTCCTAAATAAATAAAACGACGGCATTGTTTAAATATTAAAAGGGTGTAATACCCGGCACGTGTGTTATCTCGCTGTGTGACAGGGAAATTTTGTTGTTGCGCAAACGCGTTGTCGCGTCGCCTAGGAAATACTCGTATTGTGTCTTTCATATATCTATAATGACATTAATTAGATAACGAAATATAATGTTGCGAGTGTACTTGATATACCAGTAGAGCGACCTCTTAACTTCTCTAGCTGTGATACGACATCTTAGTGATATTATAGCGCTACTCCGTTTCATTATACTACTTTGACATGGTCTTGATAATAACAAATTAATGATAACGAATGAAAATTATGGATTTGATAGCAGTGATACTTAAGGCTCTCTTGTACCTTCACTTACGTTACGTTCCAGTACAAAGACACAAACATATACGCATCAAGAGTAAAGACGCGTTTGCTTTTCATACATTTTAATCACAAAAAAAAAAACAAATGCTATTATAAAAAAAATCTTAAGATGATTCTATATTATATCAAAACCTATTTTTGTGTATATTTTTATATAATTAAAATATATTAGTAGTAAAATCGATCCAAAAACTTATTAACTCATTCTTTGCGATTTATTTTTCTATTCCAAAGTCATTGAACTACGTGTATATCGGAGGACTAATGAATCTATACAAAACAAATAAAACTCGGCTGGGTTAGGTTATTTTATTACAAAGTTTCCAGTTGAGCACCATTATTGAACCGCAGATAATATATTGGTCCATGTCCTTGTCAAGTCAAAATCAAATGCAAAATATATTTATTAAAATAAACGTACTAAAAGCATTTTTTACTACTCCAAATGTTTAGGACAAAACAAATTCATTGGGATTACTTTATTTAGGAATAAATACCTACTCATAGGTAGAATTGCAAAGATCCTATGGCTATTTTCTGGCTCCATCATCCGATCAGCATAATTTCATATTAATATTGCGTTATCATCGAATCAAAAACCAGGTAGGGGATATTTAACTTGCAAGATTTGATTTATAAAGGCTTATAGATAATGTATATTATGTAAAATAGTATTTGCCTTAAGACATTTAACTTCCATCATCACCTCTGAACTATAAGCCATTCGAGCGCACGTATACAATTGGATTAGTATTCTTAGGACGTCTGCACTCAAACTGATATCGAAGGATTTTCCAGAGTCATGGTTATAACTTTTGTAATATCAAACGTGACGAATTGTATTAGAATCGTTTTCCCAATATGTCGGACAAACATTCCACAGTCACAATGATAACAACTTTGCAAGGGCAACGCAAATTCTATAAAGTTTATCAAATAAACTTTTGTTTTATTTCCCGACTTCTGTTTGTTTTGTTTTTCTTATTATTATTTTTTAAGTAGTGTTCGCGACAGTTTGAATGTAGACTTTTGTATTTAAAAAACTAGACAAGATTATCTGTTTTAACAACGATTACAACAAGAAAATAAAAGTGACAAAAGTCAGAAAAATTAAAATTAAAAACATAAATACACTTTCCTAAAGCGTCAAAGACGAAGGTTTTTTTTCTCTTTATTTTGGCACAAACAGTCATTAAACAACATTTCAATGTTAACGATATTATTATATATTATAGACAATGAGTACCCATAATTACTTAATACAAACGAACAACATGAGTTACAAAGTAAATAACAGCTTATAAACATTTATAGTTTTACAAAATTTCAATAAGTTATGTGAAGTATAGTTAGGATAACTAAAATTAAAAGTTGATCATTGTAATATATTAAAGATTTGAAACATAATGCTAGTTGAGCTATTACAAAGGTCAATATTGGAAAATTGGATATTATACATTTTAAGACAATGACAAAAATAACTACTGCAAGTATAGTTTTTGCGAAAATGATATTGCGATAAGTTGTCGTCAACAATCAGTATAGCAAATTCAAAAATTTTTCCCGAGTTGATATGAAATATTTTAAATGACTTTAAAAAGGAGGAGTTTTTAAATTCATTGCTTTGTGTGTACAGCAAATAATAAATGTATATCGCTTTAAAACATTTAATGAAAAATGTTGCCAAGATAAAAACACTTGGCAACATTTATATCATGATATATTATGGTTCGCATTGTCAAACAGTTTTCAGATGTTATGTAGAGCCTTCTACAAACAAGCCTTTACAAACTATATCTTAGTCAAAACATATGGCTTAGTTATTCCTGCTGGTTGTGGACCATGTTTGAATTATTTATTGTTGAATTTTTTTTTATGAGGTATAAAAACACTCACCCAAGAGCTATATAAGCTTCTGCAGTAATAAAATACATTTTAAATAGGGTTAAGTTCAGAAATGCTAGATGCAGTGAAAGTTACTATAGATTATAATTATGTACTAATTCACAGTGCTATGGACGTCTCCATTTCCTTTGCAATCTTTTCTAATAATATTAAAAAGTAGAATAAGCTATATACCCCGGAGTAAATTATTGAGTATCTTGAATAATTTCTGTGGTCAACTGGTCATTTATATCCAATATTTGAACCAGCACAAATGAAAATTATCTTAGCATAAGCTATCTGAGTCAAGTAGCACTATTTTTTTACTCTTATCGTAAAATAACGAACGTGACTATACGTGACATTCAATTATTTAGATCTATACGTGTCTATTTAAATACATGCACACACAATGTCAAGGTTTAGTTTATTATTTTTACTGATTAGGTCAAGATGAATACATTGACCGTATTCGCTTTAGCTACTCTTATTTGTTTCGTAAGTACTTAAATATTATATAGTATTAGTGGCTTTTTATTTGCAAACTCATTACTTTTCAATATTATAAACCTTTCAAATAGATGTGACTTGGACTGTACGTTAGTGTAAAGGAAGAAATGATTAATAAACAAAAAATATTTGACTATCCAAAGCATTGTTAAAAGTAAACGTCAGTAATTTTAATTAAGCCTTATTTCTCTAAATAAATATAACGGAGTTCGCTTATCTCTTAGAATAGAATAGGCGAAAGGATGGGATTTTAGAATTCTTTGTATACAAACATATAAACTATTGTATCAGAATTCCAATCACACCTGTCATTAATTTCCAAGGTATAAAGCAAATTCACTTCGTCCGCCTCTTTCGGTTATATAGATATACGATAACCTTAAAAATCACAAAGAGACAAATAATAATCAGCTGCTCCGATTAGCTCAGCTAAACGAGAGAGAGAAAAATATCATTTGTTACAATATCAACTAAATATCTTCTTTTTCAGTCTCAAGCTCGTCCGCAGGATGAATTGATGTACGATAACGAGGAAACCAGAGAAATTGTTGAATGGCTATCAGAATTTGTTTATGAAATGATGGTAACAATAGACACATATTTGGCGCCCTTGTATCATGAATTAGAAGATTCGAGGAGACGACTACAAATGGACAGTGGTGATAACAATAATACGGTGAGTTAAGATATGGTGAAGCCAAAACAACGTTCCTGTCTATCTATCTATCTCATTGCGTCCGTCATTGAAACAGATAGGCAAAAAAAATAGTAGATTGAGGGGCACAAAAGGTTTTAATTAATTACCCAGATGTTTATTAATTTTCTGTATAAAAAGCAACAAGAAAAGGAAAAAACTGCTCAAGTGCGAGACGAAATTGCGCACGAAAGATTCAATACCATTATCCATTAAAAAAGTAGAAACAAAGATCACGTTTGTTGATTTCTGTGGAGTTTTATAACGTTAAGGTTTATAAAGATGATGTAGATTTATCATTAAAAATAGAAAATAGTTTTGAGCAGAGGCAAATATAAATAAAATAAATATGACGTTGTTAGCGACGCGAGTATATAAATGTATTTTTTTTAATAAATATAACATGGAGGATTGATCGAAAGACGTCTCGGGTTTTTTCTTTTTGTTTTCAAGTTTGACATTTTGTATACTCTTTTTTAAAAGTCATTAAATTTTTTCCCTTCCAAAACTACGTCGTTTTTTATTGGAGTTTGAACTTATTTTTTACTGCGAGCCCGCGTCGTCTACAGACGTAATACTTAAAGTGGCTAGTTTACACTGCAAAATCAACTGAGGTTATTTGTATGATCAATACATAGCAAACACTTGCGAAAAGGTTTCCTTATATCGCTTTGGAGTCGGGAAATATTTACAGATAAAATATGTTAGGTGTCCAGGAAAATTCACATACACGTCTGCTGAATGGCTGACTTTCAAAGTCATGTCAAATTTTATTTTCTTCTATATATTACGTCTACTAATTTTCTTTCCAAAATGGTTTTAATTAAGTAACTCTTACACTTATATCTACAGTTGGAAAAAGTAATTACTCGAGAAAATGTCATAAGTAGATGAGAATTTGAATTCTAACTTTTTACAGTTATCACTTCATTCAAATTCTTGTTTATTTATTGAAAATATTTGTTTGAATTGTGAGATTGTGTTTTAAATTTATTTTCATGGGATATATATAATTTTTACTTTGTTCCAAAATTTACCTGGATGATAGTGATACTTACTATTTTGAATAGGCATGGTGTTCAACAAAGCTTTCCGGAGTGCTATTCTGTGATAAAAATTCGAACTCTACATTATCGCTGTTAGATCTTTAATCATATAGCATTTACTTCAAAAAGCAATCGGGTAAAGTCTAAGTTTTCAGTAATGCTGCATAGATAATACTACTAGACAATTGTTAGGTTCTGAAAGCTCGCTACTCACGTCGTTTCTTGTATAGTTATAGTTTCGGATCTGAGAGTTGTTGTACATTTATTGTTTAAAATTTCCATAATATAAGTGATAATATGATGAATGTAGTCTTGTCGAATATTTTTTCCTCCGCCTTCCTTGGTTCGGAGCGGTCGTGTGCTGTCTTAGTGTCGTTTTTTCAGATATTTAATTAATTCAATTTTTGTGATTGGCCGTGAGTGAAATTTTTAATTCCTTGTCTCGCAAGGGGTCGTTAAACGGAGTAACTCCTCCTACTGGGCAGTCCTAGAGTGGGATAACTAATTGACATAAATCCGTGTGCATAAAATTGTGTGCTGGGCGGAGATTCGAACTCGGTCTCGTGGATTGTTGCTGCGTCTGGTACGAAAACTGCGCCGCTATCAAAGCCGTGTAGCAACCGGTGAAATAAAAGATTCTTATCGAAAGGTGACGTTGTGCTACGTCTTGCTACGTTTGCTACGAATTCATTGCGTCTGCTACGGCACTACACTGCATCTACGAAGTCGGTGATTACTGTTAAACTATTTTCGATCGTACTTTTATCGTGAAAATGCCTAAAGTCCAGCGTAGCCCGCCCGTTTCCCCATCCAAGCAGACACAATCACAAACAGAATCGGATTCATCGGCAGCAGATAAGCCGCCGACGGGAAGTTATAAGACAGCGGTTCGTTCAAAACGCTTACGAATGGAATTATCGCCCCAAAGTAATACCGAGAATGATTTGCAAGATTTAAAAAAAGAGCTTATGGTTATGCTTACCTCATGGAAAACAGATCAAGATGCCACATTATCAAAACTTGTTGCGGACATAACAGCACTGAAAAATCAATGTTTTGATATACAAACAACAAATTGCGGAATCGAAAAATCGATATCTTCTTTAGGTGCACAATATGAAGAAGTAAAAAATAAGATTGGAAAGTTGGAACTAGAGAAAAACCAGAATACTGAATTGTTAATGGCGCTAGGAAAGCAAATGGATGAATTCCAACAATTATCAAGATCTTCAGCTATTGAAATCAGAAATGTGACAGAGGAAGGGAAGGAGACTGAGAAGGAGCTTACTGAAATTATTAAAAATCTTGGTTCCACCATTAATATTAATATAGAAGACAAAGATATAAGAGATATATACAGGCGCCCAGGAAAACCGGGGACGACTAAGGCGATAGTAGTTGAATTCAATTCTGTACAATTTCAAAACAACTTTCTTCATTCCACCCGTCGTTTCAACAGAAACCGGCAGGCATCAGAGAAGCTCAATCATGAGCACATCGGAAAGTCGGGTGACAAGCGACCAATCTATGTGGATGAGCACCTTCCCTACTCAACTCGCAAACTTCTGTTTCAAACCCGTGAATTTGCAAAACAACATAATTTTAAATTTTGCTGGATATCTAGGGGCAGGGTGCTGCTCCGCAAAGATTCGAACACTAAATATATACATGTTAAGTCTGAGAAATGTCTGCCTAATCTTCTTACTTTTCTGTAGGCTAGTTAACTTTCTTTTTTATCTTACATTACAGATATATAAATGTACAAGAAATAAACTTTCATACTGTCAAACAATACACGAACACATATTCAACACACATAAAAATACTACTATTTACACTACTTTATTTCCAACCTACTATAAAAATTCCCTTAACATACATACATGTCCTAAATTGTTAAATATGGTTATTTCATTATATTATAAATTCTCAAATATTCTATGTGAAACAACATCTCGTTTTCTTTTGTTCACATTTAAACAAAAACACGAAAAACACTGCAACGCACGCCTATCACATCACTATTTCTACAAGTATATATTAAATATGTCTCATTTTAAACTTGTTATTATGATAGATATTGAACAATGTACATTTGTCCTATGGCTAGTACAGGCTTTCTCCTTCTTAGGTAGAGGGTGTAAAATTTTACAAAATAATTTACTATATTTGTTGGACTGTGCCGGTCTTATGTTGTCTCTAATGATGATAAATGTAAATAAACAATGTTGCTTTAAATAAAAATGACAGACTTAGATAATATAATAGTTGATATTGACAGCATAAGACCCGCACAATCCTATTGCTGTACACCCGAAACCTGTATAGAGTACTTGTATAATAACTTATCGCTTAATATAATACATGCCAATATTAGGAGTATAAATAAAAACTTCGATAATTTTCTAGCCACGTTGATAGCAACTAAAATAGAGTTTGACATTATTATACTGTCCGAATGTTGGTTGAGATCTGCTGGTCCTCTCCCTTCTCTTACAGGCTACACTGCCCATCAAACGTTGAATAATCCAATTCAAAATGATGGAGTTGTAACATATATAAGATCTTCCTTAAATTATCAAATTAGTGAACCAAACATCTTTGACGCTAACTGTTTGGTTTGTGGTGTTGGTGATGTTGCTATAGTTGCAGTATATCGCTCTCCATCTTATTACAATCTTGACAAATTTTACAACAGTTTTGAAATTATAATTAATTCATTGAAATATCCTAATATCGCAATAATGGGAGACTTCAACGTGGACATAAAGGAAAATAATAATAAAGACCATCATTCGGATGAATATCTTACCTTTATGTCGTCGTTGGGGTTCCTTCCGGCCTGCACCTACCCTACTAGATCAGAAAATTGCCTAGACCATATCTTTTTAAAAACAAAGCTTGTAGCTGTTGCAGTAGTCATGCAGAGTGAGATCACTGATCACTATCCTACAGCTTTATCGTTAAAAACTAAAAATAAAATAAAGAGACATGGATCCTGTGGTACAGTTAGTAAAATTGATTTCGAAGGCGTAAAGCACGAATTGGATACGGCAAATTATAGCATAGTTTTAAAAGAATCAAATGCAGATTTGGCGACAAACAATTTGATAACCATTATACAAACTGTAATCAAAAAGCACAAAACAACTAGAAAAGTATCTCGTAAAAATGTTATTATTAAACCCTGGATAACCCCTGGCATCCTACGTTGTATACGAAATCGCGATTCAATGCACCTTAAATTGAGAGGTTCACCTGATAATCATATTTTAAAAATCACCTACTGCAGATACCGTAACTTTTGCAACAAACTTTTGAAAAATCTTAAAGCTGCCTACGAAAAATGTCAGTTTGAAAAGGCAAAAAATAATCCTAGGGCCTTATGGAATGTCGTTAAAACGGTAACTAACACTAAACAATGTAAAAAGTTTGCTGTTGAACTTCTCAATATTAAAAATGATAGTAAAGCTTCGTTGAATTGTGTGAATGAATATTTTGTAAATATTGGCAAAAATCTTGCCTCTAAAATATTGCCCCATATACAACAGACCCAGAATAATATTGAAGAAATAAACACCGGAGGTGGCTCCTTTGCCATCCTACCTGTAGACGAGTCTATAATAAAAGATCTGATTTTGGGACTTCGTAGTGATTGTGCGACTGGATGGGACGAAATACCCTCTCGAGTTATCAAACAGTCCTGCAGTGCACTGACACCGCCCCTGGTACATATTTTCAATCTATGCATAGAGAGGGGAGTGTTTCCGGGTGCCTTTAAAAGAGCTGTTGTGTCACCAATTCATAAAGGGGGCGACGTGGATGTCCTTTCTAATTACAGGCCCATTTCCGTTTTGACTGCTTTCTCGAAACTTCTGGAGAGATATCTTAATGCTTCACTTGTGCAATATTTGACAAAATTAAAAATACTGTCTGACAACCAATATGGCTTTCGTAGTGGTATTTCTACGGAGGACGCCGTTTCTAACTTTGTCGGTACGGTTGTCTCAAAAATAGAGAAAAAGTTAAAATGTTACGGTGTCTTCCTGGATCTCTCCAAGGCCTTTGATACCGTCTCTGTGCCTATTCTTCTGGCCAAGCTTGAAAGGGTAGGTATACGGGGCCTTACATTAGATATGTTCACAAGTTACCTGACAGACCGAACACAAAATGTAAAAATAGGATCTTTATTTAGTGATGAAAAATTAATATGTTATGGCGTTCCCCAAGGTAGCATACTAGGTCCCACTCTCTTTTTAATATATATTGACCAGCTGTGTCGCATGTCTCTTGAGAAATGCGACATTTTTACGTATGCTGATGATACTGCACTATTAGTCTATGGTGATAGTTGGATCTCCGCAAAGGCAAATGCAGAGAGTGCACTTGCAAAAATCAAGATCTGGTTAGATGAGAATCTTCTTACCTTAAACCAAGATAAAACGCAAGTTATTCGATTTGACATCTCCAAGAAGCACCTTAAAGATCTACCTAATGATGACATTAAAATTCATCACCGTCATGACAAAGATCCGTGTGTATGTAGTAGCAAACCTTTAAAAGTTGTGAATAGTGTCAAATATTTGGGAGTGTACGTTGATGACAAACTCGACTGGCATGTACAAATTCAGATTCTCACAGCAAAGGTTCGTAGGTTGATTTATGTCTTCAAGAGACTGTGCAGTTCAGTTGATCAAAACACTCTTTTTATAATCTATAAGGGTCTGTGTCAGTCAGTAATATCATATTGCATTTCGGTTTGGGGTGGGGCAAATAAAACAAGCCTTTTGAGATTGGAACGAGCTCAGAGGGCTGTACTCAAGGTTTTATTGCGTAAGCCAAGAACATACTCTACGGAAAAATTATTTCATGAATGTAAAGTGCTTACAGTGAGGCAGCTGTCGATACTTCGTATTCTTTTACGTAAACATTCATCAATACCTTTTGATCATAAAATAACAATGAGGAGGTCGAGAGCTCCTGTTTGTCATCAAATAAAATGTCGGACTTCGTGGGCGAAACAGCAATACAACGCGCTAAGTTTAAAACTGTACAATAGAGTGAATAAAATTAAACCAATACTTTCGCATACAAAGCTCACTGTGAAAACCATTATCGAAAATTTGTTATTGTCATTTAACTATCACGAAACAGAGGACATGTTAAAGTAGGCAAACCAAATAGAATATATATATGCACACAAATACGACACAGGCAACACGCACACACACACACACACACACACACACACACACACACACACACACACACACACACACACACACACACACACACACACACACACACACACACACACACACGCACACACACACACACACTCACGCATAGGTTTACACACAAAAGTTCTACCGATACCGATATATATATAAACAATGGTTGTAAAATGTTCATTGAGATAAGAGGAATCACTGACTTCCAAAAAACAGATTTAATTCTAGTTTGGGAGTCAGGGGCTCACAATAATTTAGGT